GGTCCTGGCAGGTTCATACAGAATACATCTTAGGTCTCCTGAGTTTCCTCAACTGCATATCTAAGAGGACATGATGGTGTTTAAGCTTCAAAGATGGGTAATTCTGAGCTTTTCCATGTGAGAAACCTCCAAACATACTAACCAAAGGTTGAACTTATATTAGAGCATTTTAATGTATCTATTAAATAATAAACTCTCTGCAAAAATAAATGTTATTCATTTATGACAGTTCTAGCACAATATATTGCATTATTATAAAGCAAATAAGACAGTAGGAAAATTAATTTTTTAACCTAAGGACACTGCTTTAAAAATTCTGCATCTTTCCTAAACTGCATGGAAAATCTCAAGTGATGATTTAACTGTCTGAATAAGTCTTCATTACACTTTATTTTAAAAGTAATATCAGTCACATAAAGGAAGTAATACAAATACTGTAAGCTAATACACTTGCTTAACATGTTTTAATTATTGTGAATGCTACATAAAGACACTTATGCAGCCACTTTTTTTTTTTTTTTTTAGAAAAGGCATTTACTTTGCTCTGTAAAGCAAGAGATAGTACTTTAAACATCAAATGACTGTACTGAGTGGAACCATCAATTATCTGAAATTTTGCTGCATTAAGTTTTTTTAAAGAGACAAATTATAAAAGGTATTATTGTGGATTTATTCCAAAAATATAACTTTGAGGTTACTTACTTGGCCAGTATGAAATCAGTGCCATCTTTCCTATTTTCTGGGTATTTAGGCTACACAATGAGAATTGATTTTCTGAGTGATAGCCCCGAGAACTTGCAGGAGTCTTACTTATCAAAGAAAGATTCAATTATGTTCTTATATTGTACTGACCAAGGAAGAAAGTAAGGGAATATAGTTCACAAAAAGCTCCTCAAGCAAAGTTGCAATAACCTTCAGTTACCCAGATGAGCACATCGAGATAATTCGGAGCGCCCACTGCTCAGGGGTCAGTGCAGTATGATCTATGGTATAAGAACATTTTACTTTAGCAGTATCTGTATATATTCCCCATGACCCTCCAGTTTATTACACAATCAAAAGAGGTTTTAATTAAAATTTTGAATGATATACAGGGTGGGGCAAAAGTAGGTTACCAGTTGTGAGTACATGAAACAGAAATTATTCTTGTGTTATTATTTATAAATGATTGTATTACTTTCCATAAAAAAAAAAATTGTAAACTCCATATATGGTAGTTGAATTACCCATCGTGCTGACTAAAATTAGAGAACCAAACAATATATAAATAGAAGTACTAAATATCCCCAGGAGGCCGTGTGTATCTTTTCAGATTCCAGGCTGCTTTGCAACAGAGGTTTGAGGCCTAGATGGGTGGCTGAACTAGAGGATCCAAAGGATCTTTGCCAGTCATGACATCGTGTGATCCATGGAATGATGACAGCTAACTGGCCAAACCTTGAGGCTCTTTGATTTCCTTTGTATGTTCTCAGTAAGGAGTAAGTTAGTACAAGGCACATATGTATAAAATGCCACCAACAGTCAAGAATTACAGCAGGATAATAAGACATACTGCACGATGTTAACTATCAAGGAAGGCAATGGTGTCATTAGTGTGCATATATAAACATATCTTAGCTTCTTTGGATGTGAACCCTGAATTCTTGCTTAGCCAAAATAAATTTAATCTATAAAAATAATTTCATCCAAAGAGAACTCTCATCCACTATTGGTGGGAATGTAGATTGGTGCAGCCACTGTGGACAAGAGTATGAGATTTAAAATGAAACTGCCTTATGACGCACTGATTCCACTTCTGGATGTATATCCAGAAAAACCTAAAGCACTAATTTGAAAGAATGTTCATTACAGCATTATTTATAGTAGCCAAGTTATGGAAGCAACCTAAAAGCCCATCAATAGACAAGTGGATAAAAAAGGTGTGGTATATATATATACAATGGAATATTCTTCAGCCATAAATAAGAACAAAATTTTACTATTTGTGACAGCATGGATGGACCTAGAGGGTATTATGTTAAGTGAAATAAGTCAGTCAGAGAAAGAAAGATCATGTGATTTCACTTATGTGTGGAATTGAAAGAACAATATAAAGGAACAAACAAAACAGTAACAGACTCATAGACACAGAGAACAGTCTGGTGTTGGGGGACTGGGTGGAAAGGGTGAAAGGCTGGAGAAGTACAGATTGGTGTTTACAGACTAGTCATGGGATGTAAAGTGTGGTATAGGAACATAGCAATATTGTAATAACTCTATGTGGTGCCAGTTGGGTACTGGACATATCGGGGGACACTCTGCAAAGTGTACGACTGTCTAACCACTATGCTGCACACCTGATATAAAGTAATATTGAATGTAAACTGCAACATTTTTTAGGTATTAAAAAAATAATTTCATCCACTGTTAAAAAACACACACACACAACAACCTTAGTATTGTCTCCCTAACTTACTGAGATTTTCAGAGCAAGAGATCCGAGGCCGGTGGGACAGCAGCCGGAAGGGAAGCTTGGCTGCCCTCCATCTTCTGCAGCAGGCACTTGCCTGTGACCTGCCTCATGTGAGAGTTGTCCCCAAACTCAGCAGAAACCATTATGGATCCCTGATGGACTTCTCAGGATGTTAAGAACTACAGAAGAAAGTTATCAAGCGAATATTTTGGGGGTTAAAGGGCCATCCATTTCCATAGATAGTGAAAACTAGATCCATAGGACAATGGCAACGCTAGATTTTTTCCCCCCTAAAATCTTGTGAAGTCCTCCCTACCATGAAACGCTGCCTTCCAGTGACAGATCTAAGTCAGGCCTCTCTCTTCTCAGCCTTCATTTCTCACCCTGGCCCACACCCATTTGGTTAACTTCCTGTTACCTCTGTAAGCCTGAATCTTTCTGGAAGCATTCCCTGACCAATAACCCTTGTCGCCTTCTTCATTTGTTCTCCAGACACAATTCCTTTCCCCTGTGCTGTGCCAGCGTCTGTGGTAATGCTTTAACCCCCAGTTCGTGTGTGTGTGCTTCTGCGTGTGTCTTTTGGACTGTGAACTCCTTTGACAACACAGCCCAATTCCTGATGTGTTGCTTTACTGTCATCATTACAACTTAGTTCTACTCCCCAGTCTGCTGGAACTAGCTGGGAGCTTATGCAACTAGGTCTGTCTCACAGATGAAGGTGCTGGATGAGATGATAATTAAGATATACAATAACTATAAAATTCTATGATGATCATGAAAGAAAGAACACAGCCTACAAGTCACATTACTCGTGTGTGTATTCCTATAAATGCAGAAGACTATGCAAACATTATGATAATTAGAGCAATGAGTAAGATACAGTTTTCATGAGATGGCAAACACACGGGAAACAGATCACACACACACACACACACGTGCACGTGTGCTTTAGGTTGATATACATCCTCCTCTAAGGCGTGGTGCAGGTCTTCTGACAAACCTTGAACTAGGTAGGGGAGGTGGTGAGGGCCAGGTGGAGGATACTATCTTTAGGCTCTTAAGCAGGTGAGCCTGGGAAGACCAAGACAGGGAAGTATGAGCCCTTCCCAGTGCCAAACACTTTGTGAAATATAGAGAAAAGAAACTGGCACTCAAGGATTGGCACCCCGTCACTAGTTGTCCTGAAGGATATCTGTACCCTTACCGTGTGAGCCTGCGGGTTGGGCCCTGTGCCCTCGAGTCAGAGAGCCTCCAGTGTGGCATTCCCATGCATTTTATGCAGAACGAATGCCAGACTGGTCTCCTCAAAGGTTCATCTCACTCCTCCTCCCAAGGTAGTGAGCGGCCCATCTCTAAGTCTCCCTCTCTGTCACCCCCACACACGCCCTCTTTCACACTCCCCACACCCAGGGGGTAAACATGTCCTGTCCATTCCGCTCGAGAAGCACGTTGGCGCCTCACAGTGCCGGCTTGGCTTCCGTCTTCCTGCTGTTTCGTGGTCTAGGAACAGCTCCCCTCTCAGCTGCTGAGAAAGCCTCCAGTTGTCCCTGTTGCCACCATGACCTCCATGTGTTGCAAAAACAAACATAAAACCCTTCCTTAAGTCCATTAAATTAAAAAATCACAATTACCTGCTTTAAATCTTTAAAATTTCTATTTCCTTTCTCTTCATTCACATTTTATTCCCTCCTTTTTACACTTTTTTAAGGAAAAAATCTTGCTTATTGACAATATTTAAATTCCTTGGATTCATAGGCGACTTTATAAATCGGTTCAATTCAATATTTTTCCAGCTTCCTATATTCTGCCATTTAAGATCATACATACATTTCTCTTCTCAATTGAATATTTTACTTTTCATAGGAAATAACAGGCACTGTCATGGGTTTTTACTTTTGTACATGTAATTCTTTTTGTCTGGAGTGACTCTCACCATTTTTGACATGGCAAGTATCCTTCAATATCCTTCAACATCCTGCCTCCTCTTTAGAGTTCATGCCTTTCCTGCGCTGAATGTGTCTTCGTAAAAGCACTTACCTCCACCCTAGGGATTGACCATCCACCCCTCGACCATCCACGCCTCGAATGGAAGCCCCTCGGGCGGACCCACGCCTGACCTCCCCGTCACGCCAAGCACGCAGCGTGATTCTAGCCACTAGGAAACAAGCTCGCAGTGTTTGGGGTAAGCAGAAGGATGAAGAATACAATTCTCAAATCGACACAATGATTGTTAATATGTTGTTCAGGAAGAGTTGAAATCTTTTTCATATCATTTAAATAAGCTTTGAAGGGCTAGCCTTGGAACCTAACGGACCGAAATAACTTGTTCCTATGGGAACGGCATTCTGAGTTCCAAACAGCACGCGTGCGGATGAACTTGGAACACGGCAGGCTGCCTCACGGCTGGTGCGCGCCGGCCTCGCTGAGAGGTGACTGAACCTCAACCGAGGTCCCCAGTCTGAGGAGCAGCTGAGCCTCCAACAGAGACCAGCCCCAGCCCCCAGTGACCTGTCGCTGTCTGCCCACATGGCCCTCCTGCGCGCGCGCCATGCTGCTCACTGTGTACTGTGTGCGAAGGGACCTGTCCGAGGCCACCTTCTCCCTGCAGGTCAGCCCTGACTTCGAGCTCCAGGACTTCCGCGCGCTCTGCGAGCTGGAGTCCGGCGTCCCGGCTCAGGAGGCTCGGATCATCCACATGGAGCGGCTCCTCACCGACGACCACTGCCCCCTGGGCTCCTGCGGCCTCAGGGACGGCGATGTGGTTGTTCTCCTTCAGGAGGAGAGTGTGGGGCCTCAGCCGGACTTCCCAAGGGCCACGCCGGGGACCTCCAGCTCGCGGCAGCCCCCTCGGGCACAGCCGGCCCCGCAGTCCCGGGGCTCCGGGGAGAGGCCGTGCGGCCAGGGCCTGGGCAGCCCCGCCTTGATTCGCAGCCTGCTGCTCTCCAACCCCCACGACCTGGCCCTGCTGAAGGAGCGCAACCCCACCTTGGCGGAGGCCCTGCTCAGCGGCAACTTCCAGACCTTTTCTCGGGTCCTGAAGGATCAGCAAAGGGAAAGCGCCCTGCGAGAGCAGGAGAGGCTTCGCCTCATCTCTGCTGACCCATTTGATTTGGAAGCTCAAGCCAGAATCGAGGAGGAAATCCGGCAGCAAAACATCGAGGAGAACATGACCATAGCCATGGAAGAGGCGCCAGAGAGTTTCGGGCAAGTGGCCATGCTCTACATCAACTGCAAGGTGAACGGCCACCCTCTGAAGGCGTTCGTGGACTCGGGTGCCCAGATGACCATCATGAGCCAGGCCTGCGCCGAGAGGTGTAGTATAATACGGCTGGTGGACCGCAGGTGGGCCGGCATTGCCAAAGGAGTGGGCACTCAGAGAATCCTTGGCCGCGTTCACCTCGCTCAGATTCAAATCGAAGGTGATTTCTTACAATGCTCCTTCTCTATCCTCGAGGAGCAGCCCATGGACATGCTGCTAGGGCTAGACATGCTCAAGAGACATCAGTGCTCCATTGACTTGAAGAAAAACGTGCTGGTGATCGGCACCACCGGCACCCAGACTCCCTTTCTCCCTGAGGGCGACTTACCGCCCTGCGCTAAGCTGGTGAGTGGGACTGGGCAGGAAGAGCCTTCAGACAAGCAGGTAGCAAATACTATTCAACATTCGGTCATGGACTCCGGGCGGAAAAAGCATTGAAACAGGTCATAAATGAGCCACCAACCTCAGGTTCTTGGAAATGATAAGACTTAAGCCTACTGGCAGTGTGATCATTAAAAACATCAGTAACAATATACCTGGCCTTGGAATCTTAGGTGTGTAAGCGTGTAAGTTGTGATCGCCTGATTTGGGCCCTGCTTCCATTTCCCTCGTCACAGATACTGAACCACATCCTGGGGGGCTCTGGGAGCTCCCACCAATCTGCAAAGAGTCAGTGAAAGGCCAGGCAGCTTCTTCCTTTAGGAACCCTGTCCTATCAGATGACAAGGCAGCTGTTCCACACCAGTTGCTGTTTTGTAGAATTCGCTGAAAGAAGCCATTGCTGAAGACCCCACAAGGCATCTGCACAAACCTATTTGAAATCACATTAACGTTATTTATATTCAAGAAAATATGTCTATTTTCAAAGATTTTGCGTTCTTTGGGAAAGTTATTAAAAATAGTGGGTCAGTTATACTCTTGAGTTGATTAACATGTATACATGTTTGTTTCGCACACATTAAGGTCTACTTCCTCACATTTCACACCTTCCCTGGGACCCACCTGGAGTCCTGCTCACTGCAGTCCACACCCCAAGGCTATCTTGCTGAATATGAGAGAGCTGATTTTTCTCCTAGGATACTTTAAAACAATTTTCTCTTTCCCCTGAATTCATAGAAAGCCTAGTTATAAAACAAAGCAATCAAGTAGATGTTCTTATTTTAATGATGGTGCTTCCTGGGAGCCCAGGGGTTTGACTGTGGTGGGGGTGGGAGGTAGGGGCAAGCACTCTAGGCCCCTTAATACTAATTTCAGCTAGATCGTGTTTTAAAATCTGCTTTATATATTAAACCGCCACATAAATCGTGTTTTAAAAAAAATGTTTTCACTGTTAAAATAACACTGGAAAAGTTCGGAATGAGCAGGTCTCCAAGGCTTCATTCAGCTCTCTGATCCATCTGACCAAGCTACCCTCCAATGACGGTGGGAAAGGCGAGGTCCTAGACTCAACTACAACCATGGTGGAGACATGAGAGAAAAGAAAGGCTCAGCTGCCTGAGGCCACCACACTCAGGGAAATGTTTCGGGGCATTAATCCATCAACACTGGTGTTAAAAAGAGTGGATTCAAAGTCAAGGAACGTATGTTCTAATTCCAGCTCTCTATTATTTAGGCAAATCAGGTCACATGTCCTATAACTCAGATTTCTCATCTATAAATTGTCTCAAAGGAGAGATTCATTTCAAGTACAAAGATTATATTATGATCTACGGTATCTTTTAAGTTTTCTATTTTCTCAAAAAGATCTAAAACCACTCAGAACACTCTAAAATGCTACACAAAACAAAACAAAACAAAATAAACTGCCCCTATAATGGCCACAACCTTTCATATCCCTCTCTTGATCTGCTTCTTGGTGAGATGAATCATCTCCTTCCAGAAGGGTCAATTTTTCCCACACAGCCACCGTCAGCCCCCCTCCCTGTTTCCTTCTTCCGTATAGTTTTCCTATGCTCATATTCCCCACCCCCGTCTACGTGAGCACCAAGTCTCACACCCAGAAGAACTACTAAACATGCCAAAAAAGAAGACTTTTTTCCTACTTCCATTTTAATAAGGTACCCAGGACAAATGTAGTTAACAAAATGAAGAAACAAATTCAGAGTCAAGTCAGGAATGAACAATTAGATGCTTGTGAATTAAGTGGAACTGACTTGATAAATGTATGAATTCCTTCACAGATAAAAATATGCAAACTCCTTAGCCTCCTCTACTGGACTCGGTATGCTATAATGTACTTCACATATACTAGTACCATCAATCCTCAGAATCAACCTTCAAAATAGAATTAGCCACATTTTACAGATGGGAAATTCAAGGCTCAGAATTATTATGAAACATAGAAATATCCACTAGCTTAGTGTGGTTTTTTTTCCTATCTTTATTTTACAATAATCCACATTTTAGATTGTGACCACATTTCACAATCACACACACACACACACACGCACACAAATGTACATACACATTGGTCAATCTCTGAAACAAAAAATAAAATGAAATAATATGAATTGTTTTATCTTTTCCTAGTATATTTCTTTGAAAAATTATACTTTATTATTTACAAAATATGTTAGGCATGCCCCCATTGTATCCCACCAAGGTGTCCTGATCCACAATTTGAAAACACTGACTGACCTACCAGGTTGCTCAATTCAAGTCTCTCTGATTTCAAATGCCAAATTCTTTTCATTTTGTAACCTTCTTTATCAGACACATTTAATTCTAGAGACTTGTGCCAAATTGTTACAAAATGTTATTTTGTGGAAACTACCAAGGCACTACCAGTAAAAATGACAAAGAATAGTAGTAATCAGAACACACTCAATAATTACTTACTGAAAACCCATGAAATAAGTACTGAGACAGATCTGTAAACATGGAAATGAGTACGTTCTAGTTCTAACCCTCAAGGTGACTCCAGCCTGGTAGGGGCAGGAGAAAATCTTGTAATCAACTAAGAACAAAATGAGTGGCCATGAAATTAGTAATATGTGAAAATGAAGGGATACATTTTAATTTGGAGGTTATTTTTAAAATAAGAAATAAGCCAGTAGAATGCACTTTAAATATGTCTAAACTGACCATTACTGATGCTAGGTAAAACAAACATACTTTCCTCTTACAGTTCAGGTTGCTACTATATAATCTATAAGTATTTGCTATTGGAAATTAATTACCATAGAAATGATGAACAAAATCTTCATTTTCTTTCTTCCCATTAGAAATTATGATAAAGTAAACCACATGATGAAACAGATCTAACCTGTTTAAAATAACTAGCCATTTAGAAAATCTATCAAACCTTTGATTTCTCTTAGTGCCCTTTGAAATACCCACCTTACCTAAAAGAAGCACTATCATTGATAAGCATGTATTTAAAAACTACAACAATGCCTTCTGCTGCAGCTCAGCAAGAAGACTGCTGTTGTTTGACATTAGGGGAGCACGGGGTCTTTTCTTTCTTAAAATATAGGTCATAACATTTATCTTGTTTCTGCGGGATAATCCACTCCCCTGAAAAGAAAAAGATGAATGTCTGCATGAATTCACCTTCGCTGCAGGTAAAAAATGTAGCCCTTGAAAGGGAACACTGCACTCCTTTCAGAGGGCCTTTTGCTGACACCAACATTCCCCAGAGAAACACTTGAGTAACTAATTGGGGAGTGGTCTGGGACTCACACCAGGGAGCTGTTGGTGGCTGGTGACGGATGAGTCAATGCTAACATTCCCTGAGATTATCAGCAGCCTGGAAAACCAAGGAAGAGGAACAGTGGTAAAGAGAAGTAGAGGAGGAAGGGAAAAAAAGAAAAAAGAAAAGAAAAAGAAACCTAAAAATCTGGGTTGCTTTTAACGAATTCGCTTTTGGTTTAGGTCCTGTTTTAGAAAGTGGGGGGTGGGGGGACTGCGCTGAGATTAAGGATTAGCTACCATTCCACAATACTTTATTCATTACAGCAAGTTATATAAAAACTAAAATATTTTTTCATTAGAGCCTCAGTCAAATGTGCTTTTGGACCTATTTATTTGCATGTCTGGGTCCCCCTGTTAGAATTTGTAAGGATCCCTTTTCAGAAAATTGGGGTTTGGGTCCTGCTATGGTCTCTGTGTCTTTGCCACAGGGTCCATTTGAAAGGCTTTGAAGATGGACACACCTGGGGGCTTTGTTTCTTATCACTCCACTATGTGTGTTCATGATTACTTTCTCTCATTTTGAGGCAGACTTTCATGAATCCAGGTTTTCTGTATTTCTAAGCAGTAGGCTTATTTTAAGACTACCATTTGAAAGATCACGAAATGATTTCCTCCCATGTTAAAGTTCATAGGAGGCAGCATGGACCTGTGAAATGGGTATTTTCCTTCTGTGAATTGATACATTGATGTTGTTGTCAAATAAAATACACGACTGACAACATGAGCAGATTCCAGGTGAAATAATCACATCTGCCACATTTCTACCCTGCAGCATGAGTCGTCATCCTAAAATCTCACTCTACCAGCACTTGGCCACAAGGACACCTTGAGATATAGAGAAAAATTAATTTAAAATAATATTAATTCATATATTCTCCCTTCCAAACTCATGCCATGTCTAGGGATTCAATTAGTCTATCAGTCAAAAAATATCAGTGTTTTGCATTCATCCATGTCAATAAAAGTGCAATATATATTTTTATGAGTCTTGTAACTGCTCTTTGTCATACAAAGAGACAGGAAATATAAGTTACAGTCTTCACCTTTAAAAAACATAGTCAAGTTAGAGGAACTAGAAAAAAATACAAAGTAAACAATTCAGAAATAATATTTACTTCAGTGCTGAATCATGAAACACTACAGTATATGAGGCCAGGGTTCCTGTGAAGTCCTGCTTCCCGTCTGGGATGCTAACTACGGTCCTACACTGTAGGGTTTACTGAGCAACCTCACTGAGCACCCGCCGCGTGTCGGGCACTGTTCTAGCTGCTGAATTTCCTCAATGCAGCAGCAATGTTCTGGTGCTCAACTTGGAGCTGCAAGCCAGCATAGAGGAAATTCTGTCACTTTCTGCAAAATGAGTCGTTCAAGGTCACTTTGAGATGACTCAAAACCAAATCAGAGGTAGTATATGGCATACTCAAGCTAAGCTTCAAGGTAAAGTCTGTGGTCTATTTCTGCCTCGACCCACCCACAGTGGCACTATGCTCAAGCTGTTTCCATTATGGGCTTAATCCTGGAGCACAATTCGGCAATTGTAAACAAATACTTCTCTCACAGAGTTAAAGGAAAGGGTTTGGGGCCTATACCATGGATGAACAACCCCAATACAGGCGGAAGAAAATAACTGCTGGAGATGAGTCAAATTGATGGAACATTTGTCGTATACTTGAACTCCAGGGAATAGAAGAACAGGGGTTCTCACAAACAATGAAATAGCAACCAGATGGCAATTATAAAAATGT